GGCTGGCTGAGTGACCACGCAGGAGTGAGCCCTGCAGACGCTGGCCCAGCCAGCCCTCCCAGAAACACTCAGAGACCCTGCTACGTCAGGACCAAGGCTCCTTGGTGCCCACTGCTTTGATGGGAGCTGGAAGAGATTCCGAGATTCCTCCTCCCTCTTGGCTGTGAGGTCCATGGGAAGACCTTTGACTTTGGAACCAGCTGTCTGGTTTCAGATTCTGGCACCACTCCTAGGTAACTAAGACTTTGAGGCAAGTTTCTTAGTTTCTGTCTACCTCAGTTGGTCTGTTTACTGGAATGAACCCCTTCCATGACAGAAGAGGTCACAAGCCACATAGGACAGTCCTCTGTCAAAAAACAGTGCACAGTGACTTTTTCTCAGCTGCTTGAGGTTTGGATATTGAACCAGTGTTTGCCAAGGGGCCACTGCTCTGAGCACCGCAGATGGAGGGTTTATGGGCAAGGGTAAAGCAGTGTCTGGACCATTCATCGTTCATTACGCAATGCATTTCGAAAGTTCTAAGCATTTCCTCAGGGCCTCGCCTGTACTTAGAATCCATTAGCACTTCAGCAGCTCACAGGAGGCAGACGGCATTGTCCCCATTTTCAAGATAATGAAACTGAGGCTTAGGGAAGCTCAGGGCCACACACAGTGAGGGGCAGGCCAGTCCTCACCCAGCATGTAGTTCTTTCGCTCTGAGCTGTGTCCCATCACTGTGGTGGCAACTCCAGGGACCCAGAGGAGCCTGTGAAGGGAGTTGGCTTCGGGTGCTACTGTCACTGTGGTCTCTCTCGAGGCTGACTCTCCCTGTGTCAGCGGCAAACAGCTGGGGCTTCGCTGCATGGAGTGCCTGGTGAATGGCCTGGGTGCCTGAGCTGCCCCGTGCAGTGGCTGCTGGCTGCCAGTGCCCCACTTTCCCCACTTCCTAGGTCCCTGGTGGAGCAACTTGCTCTGTGGGGGCGGAGAGGGCAGGCAGGGAGTGGCTGGCAGTTTCAGAGAGCTCTGGACTGGGTCAGACAGCTCCCCTGGCAGCCTGCCTGAGAGCAGGTGGTGCCCAGGCATGCGGCCCTGCAGCCCCTTTCCTTATCTGCCAGATCAGATCGAGCCCCGGGAACACCCAGCAGGTGAAGGCTAACTAGAAGGTGGCAGAAATGCAGTCCTGAGTGAGGGGAAAGTGTTGCGTCATCAGGGAAGTACAGGAGCAGCCTGCGACACAGTCAAACTGGGAATAGGGAAAACAGAGACTTCCCAGAAGGAGGAGTGGAGACCTTCAGAGGAAATGGCTTTGCTTTGGGGAGGCACAGACCAACAGTTGGAGCACCTGGTGGTGGGTGAAGCCAGTGTAGTTTCACTATAGTTTTTTTTTTAAGAATGATTTTATTTCACTTTATTTTTAGCCAGAGAAGGACAAAGTGAGATACAGAAGGAAACTGAGAAAGCAAGCTGCCAAGT